GAGGAAAAACGAAAAGTCTTTTTAAAAGTTCACAGATTCGACGGGCGAATTGCAGAATCTGAAGGCGAATTCGCTCGTCGAATTTGTTAACTTTTAAAAAGACTTTTCGTTTTTCCTCGATAACTGCCGAACGGATGGACGTAGAGGGACGTATGTACGCTCATTTTGTAGGGGACGACGAGATCTACAATTTCTGTGCAAAAAGAATTCGCTAGTACCAATAGTTACCGAGTTATTTGCAAAAAACGAAAAACAGGTTTTTGCAAATTACTCGTGAACTATTGATGGTAGTGCAAAATTATTATATACGAATTGTAGACCTCGTCGTCCCCTACAAAAAAGATCTGATGCAATTTGCTCGTAGATCCTACGGTTTGGAAGTTATTGGCAAATAACGAAATTTTTTGTCAGAAGTTCGTTGTTTCGACGGTGGGAAGGCCGGATTTCGTCAATGGCAATAAAATGCCAATTAATCGTACGTAACTCGTTAAATATCGAAGTTAGAAGAAAAATTCATAGAATCTTTCTTGTAGAGGACGTGAGTATCTACAAATTTCATTTGAAGTATTTTTCGATATTTCAAGAAAAGTGAAATTTTTTATTTTTCCAAAGAGTACCCCTTAAATCTCTTTTTCGAAAATTTCGTTTTTTGCCAATAACTGCTTACCTATTACCACTAGCGAAAAATGATTAGTACATTTTTTAACAGAGTGAACCTACTGTTCTTTCTTGTACGAGAGCTCGATCCTTGTTCCAGCCTTCACGACAGTAAACCTTGACATTTCTCGGACATGTATTCATAAATTGGCAAGTACAAATTCCCATCGGAGTCCACATTTCTTTAAGGATGATCGTTAAAAATTGACGGAATTGAATCAGGCACGTATCCCCTTTCCCATTAAATTGTCAGAAGAAAGTGCCCCATGGAAATTTCGAATCAGCGTTGAACAAATTTTGGTGAAACCAAGTAGCGTAATTCGGCAGCAGTATGTCGGACGCGAAGAAGGTAGAGATTACGGAGGATCACCCTACCTCCGGCGAGGGTGACGCTCCGAAGAGGAAGAAACTTCCGCGTTACGGAGTTTTCGGTAAGCGATGGCACAAGTTTCGCGTGCTGACGCCGAATTCGGCGATCCTACGCGGTTCCTACGCGATGAACCATCCCCATTTCAAGTACAGAAGCCGCGGCCGGCAAGCTGCCCCAGCTTCGATTGTGTCCATCGTCTACGGCCGTTTGTTCGAACCTAAAGAATGGGTGAAAGACTACGTAGATCAGATATTGGAATACGGAGACAAAGTATTTCGAACGAGTATGCTGAGGAATCACGTGAAAGAGAACGAGTACATGTCGGCGAAGCTGGTTCACCCGGAATTCTACATTTCCAATTACAAAGTAATGGTCTGCGTGGAGGAAACTGGGATTTATGGGAATCTGTTTAGCGAGACCGTAGGCTGCCCGGATTTCGCTGACGGATTACAAAAGTTCTTCGCGAGCAACGATTCTGGAGTGATCACCGCTCAGGGCACGTCGATGGCCATGTGGCGTCATCCGGAGATCGGTTTTCTATTCTTCGACCCGGCGCCTTGCGACGATGAGGGTGTCCACCATCCGGAAGGAGCGGCTTGCGTAATGAGATTCAAATGTCTGAACGACATTCGCGATCACTTTCTCAAGAACATGGATCAGAAGTATGATTCTAGGTACTGCATCGATAAGGTGACGGTATTGAAAGTGACCGAGATCGGTCGGGGGTACATCGATAAAATCCCGAGTGCCAGCAAGCTGGTCGTGGACAAAAGCGTGCTGAGAACCATAAATCCTGTGGACATCGATGAGAATAAAATGGATTGCACGAAGCCAGTGCCAAAAGGGGACAAGATGAAGGCGGTCGTCACAGCTAAGATCCATAGGGAACCACTGGCCATCACTATTTCGAATTACAGCATCGACCAGCGTTTCGCGACCGATCCTCTGGTGGATCAGGACAAATTCGATACCGGTTACACGTACGAGAACATGCACGTGAATGTTCCATCGACGTTCAGAGAACTGGCCGGTAACATGGCTATATTACACGGGCTGACTCACGAGCACAGCGAAATGTACAAGGGCAAGGGAGCGCAGAACGTGGCGAACTGCATCCTAGCGATCGCCATGAAGAAGGTCCATCCGGTGAAAACCTGGCTGAGACCGCAACTGGACGATATTTTGGCACTGGGCGACAATTTGTACGCCGAGGTGAAGTCCGCCAAGCCGATGATAAGAAACATGATGGCACCTGATTTGCACGACGAGAAGATCGAAGTAGAGACAAGTAAATTGGTAATAGACGTAGATTTAATCACGGTCACTGGGACTATCTCATCGAAGATTCCTACGGTGCTCAATTTGAAACAAGGGTTGGAAGAATTTTTTCTTCTCAATACCGAGGGCGTGATCGAGTCCTCGGCGATGTCGGTAGCGATCTGGAGTCAGGACGACATGTTCTACATGTTCGATCCACGGCAATGTGATCAAATCGGCGTCAGGATAAGGGAAGAGAAAGGGGGAAAGGGTGCCAAAGCTCAGGACGCGCCCCGAAAGAAAGGAAACTGTTGCGTGATCAGATTTCCCAACACCGACGCGTTGGCTGCGTTGTTTGTGAAGAACGTGGAACTGCCGAAGAAGAACGATCGGTTCACTATCAGGCATATCACGATTTTAGACGACATTCCTGGGACCAGAACTTGGCACGATTTCCAGCCGGGAACGCCTGGAGAGACTTGGGTCCTTCAGGGTACTATATCCAACGAAGATGAAGAATTCGAAGACGAGAGTCGAGGTCTTCAGGGTTTGGCCATGCCGGTGATAGCTTTGATCGCTGCTAAGGAAACGCCGCCAACGAAATGGATAAACGACACCGTCGACATCGTGATCAGGGAAGGGGATGCTTATTACAATTGGTGTAATCCTGTCGTTGAAACTGGCGAGGAGGCGGAGAGATACTTCTTCGTGCCGAACTTGAAGAAGAATCTTTATTTCAAGAACAGGAAGGTGAAGATCGACATCGAGGAAGGGACGGTCGTGGGAGATTTGACTTCGACGTCCGACAACGTCGACGTTCCGAATATGAAGACAGCGTTGGGACAGTTCTTCGAAGAACACCAGTATGGCATCATCGAGGTGAAGAACATGAGCGTGGCCGTATGGAAAGTCGAAGAAGAAGTAAAGGAGAAGGACGAGATGGTTCCAAGAAACGTTTATTACTGTTTCGATCCGAATCCTCGAAACAATCAGGGTGTTTGGGCAGGCGAGGAGGAGGAGACTGAAGAGGCCGCGGGTTGCGTGATAAGAACTTTGGACCTGAACGTTTTGGCGAAGATCATCGAGACGAACGCTGGTCAGGACGTGGAAACCGGTAACGATTTCTCCATCCACGACATGAAGGTCGTCTCGATCGGACAAGAGATGACCGAAGAGGAGATCGAAGCTGATAAGCAGATCCCGGTGAAACCTGATCTCAAGAACTATTTCAACATGGGCGATAACGGCGCTGTATTATTAGGTAGCTTCAACCAGGCGAACGAGGTGATGTTCAAGAGACACAGCAGGGATAAACAGCAAGCGGCGACCGCCTTGGCCGCTTTGGCCATGACCAAGCTTTACAATCCTCATCTATGGTACAGAGAAGTAGTCGACGACATCCTGAAGATCGGCGATAAGATCACGATGGACAATCTGGAGAATCTTCCGGAGGAAGGGATGGAGGAAGAGGCTCCGAGGAACTTTCTCCTTCCCAGTGAAATCAGCGACGACTTCGCCGTCGGTGTGAACCGAATGTACGTCACCCTCGAGGAGGAGACGGTCGCGGGCAAGATTTCCGATCTGCCGTCGGCGTTAGAAACGTTTTTCGAAACGAACATGATGGGGATATTCAGGCAAGACAATATAATGATGCCGATTTGGAGAGAGGGCGAGGTGTTCTTCACGTTGGACCCGAAAGGGCGAGACAGCAGGGGAGAGCCCCGAGAAAAAGACGGTACGGCTGCTGTGATGTGGTTCACCGATGTTCCATCTTTGGTCGAGAGCATTCAGCAGGTAGCCGTTGGCGACGAATTCGTGCTCGACGTCGTCACTCTGGACAACGCCTACGAGACGCGAGTGGCCGAAGAGGAACGAACGACGAGACCGAGTTCCGGTGACAATCCGTGGTACCACTTCCCCAAGATGACGGAAAACGTATGGGCCATAGAAGGCACGGTCCCTATGGACGATCCCAGGTTCGAAGATGCCAACAAGAATAATCAAGCCGCGGCTATTGCCATTATGGCGATCGTATTTGCGAAAGTATACGAGCCGAGATACTGGACCCAGGACGTTCTGAACCAGGTCATCGTTACCGGAGACAAGCTGCATTCAAAGTGCGTCGACAGGCTCGGCGAGGGTGCCATACCGAGGATCAACGAGATCATGACGGAATTCTTTCTCTCCTCCCGTCGAATCAACTTGAGCGTGAAGGATTGCGTCGAGGCTGGAAGCATGACGGCCAAGCCACCGAAAGTCCAGGACATGGCCACTGGCATCACCAACTTCTTCTCCAGATTCACTTCGGGAGCTTTGACCGTCAGCGACAACAGACACATAGCCGTTTGGAAATTCGACAACGATTACTATGCCTTGATACCCGGGGCGGCGACGGTCGAGGAGAAAACGTCGGTAAAACCGAAAGTACTGCGTTTCACCGACATTCAGACTCTGATACAATATCTGCAAGATTTCTTGGGAACCGAGGGAGACTACGAAATGATCGCCGTAAACGTGGTCAATTGGAACAAACTCCCACCGTGGAAATTCGATCCCAGCTCTGCGGTTCGTCCCTCGAATCTGCCACCTCTGAACGCTTACAGAAGAGTCAAAGGCGACGCCCGTGCGATTCTGAGGGGTAGCTATCACCAGGGCGACGAGATCTTCCCGGAGCAATTGAGGAACAAGCAGGGTGCCGCCAACTGCGTGGTCGCTCTGGGAATGTCTGTAGTGAAGAGCCCCGGCACCTGGACGAAGAAGACGATGGACGAGATCTTGGCGATCGGGTCGAACGTTCACAGACTGACTCAGAAGGCTAAACCGACGATAGTCCGTATCAAGCCGAAAGATATAATTAGAGTCTTCTACGTGGGCGTCAACATCCTTACGGCTGACATCGAATCTGGTACAGTCGCCGGTCTTGTAGCATTGCCTCCACCTGCTCCCGAAGACAAGAAGAAGAAGAAGGGTCGAGGAGGTGCAAGACGAGCCAGAACTGCCAGGGGGAAGAAAGGCAGGAGACCTACCAGAGTTCGTGCTCCACCTCCGCCCCCTATTCTCCTCGAAGAAGGCCTTCCGTTGTTCTTCGAGAACAATCGAGCAGGGATTCTGGTCACCGATCGAGGAGCAGTGGCTATTTGGAAAGACATGGGCGTCTACTTCATGTACGATCCTCGCGCACGGAGCGATCAAGGTTTACCCGATTTTTACGGCACTTCTTGCGTGATGTGGTTCGCTTGTCTGGAGCCTCTTTACGAGGTTCTGTTCGCCAACATCGACGACCAGGAGAAATACGGACGCTACGAGATCTGTAGGGTGATCATCAAGACTGCCATGATCGAACCGTTGCCCTGTCCCGCTGGATTCAGGCCCTACTTCGATTGTGCGACACCGCCGATCCCGGTAACGTTCATGAAGCAGAGTACCACGTTGGACGTGGAAACGGTCACCGAGTACACTTTCGTCGACGAGGAACTCAGCATCCTCCGCGGGAGTCTGCACATGCATCACAGGATCTGGAGAACGGACACGAGGGGATTTCAGAGCACGGCGATCGCGGCCGTGGCCATCGTCGTCGGTCTTCTCCACGTTCCGTCTACCTGGACGCCCGAACTGATCGACGCTATTTTGAGATACGGGGATCTGTTGCATTCGGACAGCGTGCGAGCTGCCCGACCTGGAAACAGGAATCTATCGCCCAGCGAACTGTTGACCGTCTTCATCGTCGGCGACTTCAGAGCTACTATACACATTCACAATCATACCACAGCCGGACTGCTTCATACGTTCGATTTGTCCGAATCATTGACCATGTTCTTCCGTTCGAACTGCACTGGGATCCTGCACACGAGCAACATGGCAGTGGCGGTGATGCAGCACTACGGGAAATTTTATTTGTTCGATCCCTGCGCGAGGAACGATCAAGGTAGGCCTAGTTTCGACGGAGCTGCATGCGTGATGAAGTGCGAGAGTATCATGAAACTGGCTAAGACGTTCGTCACCAATTGCAACCTGAAGACGCCGAACGTGTACACGTTGAACGCCGTCAACGTGCTCGGCTTGTATTTCTTCTCGGACGCGAAGAGCAGCTGCCCGCCGAAGTGCATACAATGACGATTGTATTTCTCGATGTTATTTTTTGGTATGAAGTGGAAAATTCGTACAGTCGTTGAATGTAATAAAGTGACAATGTTCTATGATTTAGATTGGTATCTTTTATTTCCATTATCCATTCCATTGTTCGCTCGTAGTCTGTTCGATCTCGGAGCCTGGTCGATTACAGGTGAAGCAGACAATGAATGGACGCGGTCAACAACATTCTCAAATTGCTAATTTTATTTATAAGTTTCTTTATGACACAAATCACTTTTAGCATCTACAATGAGTAGGAGTACAGGCTATACGAGAATGAATTTGATACAGATCACTTATTTAGTGTAAATACAATGTATCCTCTTTCAATTACACTCTATATAAACTAGATACTTAGAAAACACTGTACAACGCAGCTGAGAACTGTCGGTGATACTTTACAATATGTTACAAGCACTCCTTGAAGCGAGACGAGCCTAACCGCGCGCCGCGGAACTCTGTTCTTTTTTCTATTCATTGTTTTAAATCTTCCCCTTGGTAAAGAGAAAAAAGATCGGATTCGAAATCGGCCACGGCCAGGGCGTTCCCGAGTGTATGCACTCTCACGATTTCTCGCGCGGTCTCTAGGCCGTGTTTCAAACTGATTCCGGAAGCTACTCCGCTCACCCTTGATCGCAACAAGTCCCGAGAACCAACCGTTTTCTCCCTCGTTTCGAAACGTAACGCGAGAACAGCTTCCTCGTCCCCGACGGACCCTCGTGACATCGTCTCGTTCCTCGTAAAGTGAATTGAACGCCGAGTTCCGCGAGCAGAACGGATCTAAACGAACGATCGAACTCGGCCCGTCATCCCCAACGCTTCTCGCCCTAAGTATCCGTCATTTCTTTTTTTTTTATCTTTTTTTACCATGAACAAGATCGATCTTGGACCACAGCGCATTCATGGATTTCTTTTTTGTGAAAGACCGTTTATTATAGTATCACCAGAGAAGAACGTATACAGAGTCGATGAACGAACCGTCGAGCGATCGGAACGTCGGGATGATCGGGTTTTTCTAAATGCGTTTATTAAATGCTCGTTCCATCGTTCTTTGCGATCGCTGCCCTCGCAACTCGGTCTGCATACAGGTCGTCGTCTTCAAACACACGCTCACGTCTAACGCACGCACGCAACATACGCGGAATAATATATCGCACGGTTTTACGAGTCTTTTTTTTTTATTATTTCCTTCTTTCTGGCTAACGTCTGTCAGTACAATCGGTAGTCCTCCTTGTTTCCGTGAACCGCTAGTCGTCCTTGTCCGTACTTGCTCGTCTTTCGCCTCGCCCTCTCCTCGTCAGGCATCGTCATTTACTTCCTCGGTGAATTTCGTCACGTTCGTCTTATATATTTACGATAGAGAGTCGAGATAGTCGACGATTCGTCGTTTATTTGTAAAGAACTGTCGTCGAGAACGTTGAAATCTGTGTCTGCCTGATCGAGAGAGAACGAGGCACTGACATGAGAGGGGAACCCGGTGGCCGAGGTAAAAGAACCGGTGGAGGCGCAGACTCGTCGGTAACGGGACTTTCGAATGCGACTGACAGAATCTCGTACGGAAACGTAAAAAATATGTATTATCGATAATATTGGCATGATGTCGTTATGGCACGTTCAAGTATATTCGATTGTTCGGTCGACGCGTATTACAATGGTTTAATCTTAACGTTCTCGCTGTACAGACACCGTGTGGTCGCTTCGGTCGGGTCGTCGAGAGGAGAAACGTGAAAAGTAACAATTACGATGATAATTATAAAAAGAAAAAGAGAAAAAGACGTGTTCGGGAAAGAAGTAGGGGAGGGGGAGGGGAGGAAAGTGATTTGTTCAATGCTTCCTCTCGCATTGCTCAAGCACACGCACACGCTCTCGTTCCCTCTCATTTCTCCTGCGTCCTCTCTTCGGGACACGTAACGCGCCTCTTGTCTTTAATCCTCCATTGCACTTTCCCATTCGACGCAACAAATGCACCTTAATAAAACGTATCTCTACTACTTATGTACACAAGAGCTGCTCCGCAAATGAAAACGCACGAGAAGAAAAACAATATCCGACACAGAGGCTGCGCGGCTTCCCTCGCTGATCGCTTTATTCCTCGAACTCGTTTTCCCTCCGACGGGTTTTCTCATTTCGTCTAAGGTTTCTTTCAGGAGGGGTCGGGCCGAGGATTTAAAACGCGAGCTCGCTATTAAGGAAACGTGACCGAGGGACTCGTTATTCAGTTTCTGTAACGATCGATCTCTTCCCTCGTGCGAATTTCGTTCACAATTAAAAAGAAAAACAAAATAAAAGATGCATACGATCTTCGCAGTAACAACATTTCTAGGAGAACGTAAACGCGATTAAAAGAGACAATAGCTAAAACATTCCTTTAATCGTCACGCTACACAACAACAACGATATTGCCGCTCGATCAATGACAAAACAACGCGTTACAATAGACAAAAACAAAGCAATTTAAGCTTAACCGTTTACGATTCGCTAGGTTTCCTCGACGAGTCGCAAAGAATTAAGCTCGATCAGTTCTCCCGTCCCCCGGGGAGGCAGAGAAACGAAATGCAAAAGGCACGAGGAGAAGAGAGTTTAGAGCAGGGGTTCGACGCGAAGAAGCAACGATGTTTTAAATAAATGCAACGAGTTTGCCTCCGCTCGGCCTCGGTCGCGAACGATCGCCGGGAGAGGAGAGACAGGGGCCCAAAACGCTTAAGTCGCACACGTTCTAAATGGAAGCTCTGGATCGCGCGATCGATCGCCAGAACAGTCTCGCGGTTATTGTCTTGGTCGATGCAAGCTCGATGGCGCGATGTGACGCGCATTGACTCCCCGTCGCCCCTTCGTTATTTCTGATACTACGGATGAAATCGTTCGCTCGCGACGGAGCTCGAATAAGATACCTGAGATTTATATAGAGCTCGTCATCGGCATGCAATGGAGATCTATCCGGTACAGATTCTTGTCCGAAATAAAAAAAAAGACGATATAAAAATGACCGGTTCCGCGGTAAAAAAAAAAAAAAAGAGAAAAGAAAAGAGGCCTTACACGCTAATCAATCGCACGACGTGAGTGTATAGACTTTTAAAAAAAATAACAAATTACATACAGAAGAATACGTAGGTATTTGACACCATGAGGTCGAATGAAACGAGTAACGCACTCACCTTGATCATCGCTGATCATCCTCTTGCTCCGCTCTTGCCCTGCCTCCTTCGTTACCCATTCGTCGCGCATTCACACCGTCTTACGTGCCTCACGCATTCACTCACACGTCCTAGATCTCCTCGTTCTTGTTCTTTTATCTTTAGTCATACGTCTGCGGTATAATTATTTTATAGAATATAGTACCTGGCACAGGAACATGACCTCTCAGTCATTGGCATCACAACGTAACAAGGACTACGAGCTGTGTCACGCGCACTTGTATCACCGCCACCCCGGCGTAACTCTCTTCTCATTCACCCGATTCTCTCTCTTTCACGGATACCGCACGCGCGCGCACACACACACACGCTCGCGCGATCGTTCGCTCGCCTGTCTCTCCGACACGCTCTCTCGAGTGGGTGACTACAGCCAGACACTTGGTCCTGAGTATTTCTGCATCGTATTCTTATCTCTCGTTCGTTTTGTTCGATATCAGTCCGTCGACACTTTATTCACGTTCGCTACGCGTATACAACGTCCGATTCATTTTACCCACTTCTTACTGCTCCGGGCGTATTTTCGTCCTGGCGACGAATATTCCGAAGCTGGAGACGATCACCCGACCCTCTCAGCTTCCTGCCTCTACCAGCCACCTCGGTCCGCCCAGGCTCGGACCCACGGCCCGAGCGCGGACCTCCTTTCTGAGAAGGAAGAACGATAGCCAGCATCCCACCGCCATCGCCTCGATCGCGATAATCATTATTATCGTTCCCAGCATCGTCCGGCACCTGGTCTGTTCAACACGTTCAACACGGACCCTGTCGACGGCACGCTCGGCGCCGGCGACAGCCTTGTCACGTGGTTCCGGCCGGGGCTACGTGACGCTGATCGCCGGGTTGGACGTGCCCGAGGGCGCGGACACCACTTCACTCTTTATACACTGTCCGGTCAGTTGGTTCACGCTAAGAGGATTGTTGATGTCATGGGGGTTGGTGCCGACCGGATTGCGATGCGGGGGCGGCTGCTGCACCGGCTGATTGTGCGGCTGGCTGCCAGGATTCGTAAGAGGCGGTGGCGGCACCGGCGGCGTCACGGGACAAGGACAGGGACTGGCCAGGCTCGAGGGCGACGGTAAAACCAGTGACGGGCTGGCCAGACTAGACAACGCGGATAAACCCCCGGGACTGCTCAGGGACTCGTCGTCCTCGGGAGTGCCTGCCTCCCCCACGCTGCCGAGGTTGTCCTCCGAGTGATCGTCTTCGCCTTCGCCGTCCGCTTCGCCGTCGCCGTCTCCTCCCTCCCCCATGTATCTGATACATTTCTTCTTACGTCTGTGAACAAGCGGCAACGGATTAACTCGCGCTGGTTCCTCGGGTTCCAGCCGTCGGTCATCAGCGGCTTCGAACGTTGCTTCGCTCTCGATTGTCTCGTACAAAAAATGATTCGGTTCGATTCTGGGAATTGCAGGAGCAACGTTCGAGGCCGTTCGCAGGAGGTTACATTCAGAATTATTGTACCAACTAAAAGAACATGCGGTCACTCGTGGTCGTAACAAGGCTCGACCTCGCAGACGTCTCGAAGATCGTCGATCGTAGATTACGTTACATAATTTTCATTTAACAGGCGACGTGGAACATAAGAGACGTATGCGTGGTCAGCCGTTTTGTCGTTCGACACGGAATCACTCGCTGCAAATGCCATGCTCAAAAAGTTCAGACTTAAACAAGCAAATAACTGTGGTGTAATAAACGTATACGTGAAAAAACAAAAGTCTCAACAAAATTCAAACGCGAAATGGGGGCACAAGGGTGGGCGGTTGGGGGTTTCCGTCGTCGGTGAAAGGGGCTGCTTCGATCCCGCCGGCGAGAACTACGTGTATCGCGGACGTACGGAAAATCGATCGAAAGCTCGCGGGACGAGCCTCTTCTCGAGAGAAACACGCGTGAACGGATCGTGATCGATGTTACGTGGAACTTGGAACATTCGTCGAGAATCGGCACGCTCGTTCTCTTTCCCCCTTTGCCGAACGAAAATTAAGCGGGACGAAACGAACGGAAAGCAAAAAAGAGAGACGACCGTGCCGCAAGAGAGACGTTCTTTCGTCACGAAAATGATTCGGTATCGCGAGTGAACACGAAACGATAAAGAGGAGACATTATTCGCTACTGCAAAGTTCCCGAAAAGTGAGCCCGTCCGACCTCGTGTGCTAACTGCATCGCAGTCGAGACATCTATCGCTCTGCCATTGGGTCTCATTATTCATCTCTTAGCCAGTTGATTTTTTTTTTTTCTTTAACAATTGATACGACTGTTGGGGCAGGACGTCAACTGTTCGCAGGCACGTCTGAATTCAAAAGCGTTCTACCTCTGTCGTCCAGCTGTTCTCACTTCTATTCCGTCGAATCTCTGTCTGAAATCCTATTTAATTCTCGACAGCAGCTGGACAGTGACGCGAATCGAGGTCGAAACGCGTCCGAATTCCGTTCGAGCCTCTACGAAGCGAAGGAAATCGGAAACTTCCGAGACTCCTCGAGACTCGGTCTGACCACCGAGCGACCTGTTCCACTGAACCGGTCCGCTCCAGTCCAGAGTTACGACGCGCGGATCGTTCGTACTGCAAAACGTACGACTGACGAGATCACGAAACGGAGACTAAATCAGAGAGATAGAAACAAAAGACGTCAAGATGAAATAAATTGGAAATAACGAACGTATATATTCACGTACTAATAGACAAATCAAGGTAGATTCAACACATCCGTTACCAACACATTAATCGCCGTAACAATTACCGTACACGAACTGCCATGCCATAAAAAATCAATAAGTATATAAGTAAATGTATATATGTATATATATAATATTATGTATGTATACTTCTCTATAGCCAAACGTTCCGAATACCGAGATACAACATACGGAAAATAGCAATATGTCTGTTGTAAAATGAAGTAATCTTGGTTACACGTAATAGACGTACGCAACAACGTATATATTTATATATATATGTAAACACAGACGGTATATATATAATATATACATATAGATGTATTATATATGTATTACAGACCAGCCATGCTAAGGGCAACACTGAGTAAAGTCCAACTAAACGAGGGTAAATCAAATGTAACAATAATAAGCTGCAAAGAGCCACAACAATGAGAAACAATGCGAGCATTAGGGCGTCGCTGCGCCGCTCACTATGCCAGCTTGCTCGTTTATTGCAAATAAAAAGAGATCCAGGAATCTCGGGCGCAGGACGCTGAGTCGTCAGCCGATCGGAATCGAGCCGTTACGAGAAACGAGCAGAGTCGGCTGGGCATAGGGAGGGCCAGCTACGCCCGTAGGTTTAAGTCGGGACTGACCACTGTTTAAGAAGAAGTGTTGCAGTAGAAGGGAGGCGATAGGCTTGACTAGAGATTAACATAAGTGGGTTCTTGCTGAGGCGAGGAGGCATTGGAGGCAGTGTTGGTATTCGGGGGTGCAGTGGCTGCTCCCACTGACCCTCCACCGCCTCCAGCCCCGACCCCTGCCCCCGCGCTACTTCCCACACCGTGATGGATTATGCTCGCGTGGATGCCCATCCCCGCTCCATGCTCCACTGGGCTGCCAAAACCAACCACCAGCCATTAAAGGGGCGCTCGTCGCGTCGACGTTATCGCTTTAATCCCACCTTAATAATCCCACACCGTATCGTCGTCACCCACACGCATCGGCCCGATCGAATCTACGAGCTCGCGCGATTCGTCGACCGTTTCTCCGTTTCTACGCCTCGCGACTCGCGACGGAGGACCTTCTCGACACCTCTGACACCGATACGATCTCGTCGAACAGCGATTCTGCTCTGTCTGATCAGAAAATATGTCTCCCAAGTCGATTCCACGGTCGTGAACAATTTCCTAGGTCGCCACTCTGAGTCACGCTGACTGTGTTTCAATTTAAACTCAAATGACGGAGACAAATAAGACGCGTTTTCGTTCTGATTCCAAGCAAAATGATAAAAATATCAACGATTTTCGTGGTAGCGTGAAAACATCGTGGTCGAGATTCGTCATCGCCCCTTTAATGAGGTCCATGAGATTCACAAACCCAGCCGGGAGTTGGGGCGTTCGGGCGCACTGTGCGATTTACGTACAGTGATATAGAACGGATGTCATATAGTGGCGCTAAAAAAACGGGTGGCTCGTGATGCCGCAATGTAAACTACTGTGTGGTATCTAGTTAAGAGATATTTACAAGCAAAGTACAAGTGGACGATGCCGCTCGGATCGATCTGGCAGCGTGCGAGAAAGATCCCCTCTTTTCCATTTCTCTCGTTTCATATGTATTTGTTTATTTTTCTTTTTGGAAGACACATTTTCTGACGATTGCTTCTAGTCTCTTCGTCAAGGAGGTCTCGGTGAAGAAAATAATTCTCATCGAGCGCGCGTACTTCGGTACATCCGATTTTCCACGCGGTCTGCTATTGAATTTTGTTCAGGCTCGTTTCCTCTTTTCAAGTTCCACGATAACATGTGGATGACGGAACGGAGTAGAAGATAACGATCGAGTGGTGGCAATCGAGAAATACTATTTTCGTGCCCGGGTTCGTTGTATTTTACATTCTTATCCGTGCGCCGAAGTGAACGAGTATCGGTTCAATGAAAATCTTACACGATCTCACAGCACAAACCGCGCAAGTTAACGATTAATCAGACGGAATACTCGTTCACGACGGGCCGTGTCTCGTTCACCACGTTTAAGGAGAAGTAACTTCCTCTAGCGTTCAACTACCATGAACTGACGTGAGACTTCTACGTAGTCCGATTCTCAAAACACTTTTCGATATCGAGATTCGTATGTACACGCGACCGGAACAGCGTGCGCAGCGTTTCATAGATAAGACGGTATATCACGTAAACCCTCTCTTTCTCTCTCACACACACGCGCGCACACACACTCTCTCTCACTCTCGCTTTCTCTCAAAAAGCAGAAACCATCTACAAGATGCACACGTACCTGCACGGCTTGCACCACTGGCTTTGCTGGTCTAATCCGTACCTGGCGCGGCACTTCTTCATGTTGTTACCTAGAAAACGGGAAAACGATTTGTCGATTAGCGGGACTGCACAGCTTCTTCGGCTGCGAAGAGGGACAGGGGGATGCGTTTCATCATATACTTATTTCTTTTTCGTCTCTCTATTTTTATCGCACATCGTCGAATTTCTCTGATTTCGTCAAACGAATGACATTAATTGACAGTGACGTTCTCGACCGAAGTTCATACCTCTATTGGCTAAGAGAAAAATTAATAAACTCGTATACGAGGATCGTTTCACACACGGTTGATGGAAAATACAGATTTTCATTTTTTTTTTCCGGGCTGGATTTCGATATTGACGATCGCGTCGAAGATACACACTTGTTGCAGCGGCGATCAGAATATATTCAACAAATTTTAAACGTTTGTCAACTAGTCATGCGTGTAACAGAATGATAGCGACCAATCGAGCTCGATTCTCTGATCGAATGTAATCGGATTCGACACTTTTAATGGAGCGAAGGAAAATCAATTGAAAAACAAAATTTTATTCGATTTCGAGCTCGACCGGTCCAGAAATTTGACAATGTATCAGTGGACAGGGTCTTCCCAGAAAACACATCGTCGCATAGATACTTCGATTCGAGTCTCGTAGCAATTATTCAACTATTTAAGATACAGATTGCAGATTGTATTCGGGGGAGGACCCTGCGGATCGACAAAAACAGAGACATCTTGTCAAGCTGAGTAAAAACGGCATGCAGCGTAAAAACGTTAAAACGGCGTAAAAAACACGATCAAAGATCATATCTACTCAATTAATATCATGGTATCGAGAAACGCAAGCTCTAAACGATGAATGTCAAAGATGAATGCGAAAATTAAAATCGCTCAACGAAACGATTCGCGTGTAAGGGTCGAGAATAATATTGAGTAATTGATAAAAGGTGGAAGAACCGAATGAGTAGATCGCGATCTTCTTATTGAAAGAAAAAAAAAAAAATTAATGATGATGAACTGACAAAAAAATTGAGTGGGTCGACAGGCAATGTTGAAACGATCAAAAGGGATGGCGAGCGTAAAAAAAGAGACAAGGGTTGAAACTAGTATAGAGAAGAGAAAGTAAGAGTGAAAGGAGGGTAGAGGTGGTAAGAGCGCAGCGAGAGAGAAGAGGCGCAGAAAAGAAGAAGAAGAAGAAGAAGAAGAAGAAGAAAAGAAGATAGACGGGTGAACACATAGACTAAGTGAAAAATTAAAAACGCTTAGGATTGTCTGACTGCGGAGTATAGGTCCCTGTAAAAATGCAAGATGGCCAGCGTCCCCAAAGTTGTATACGTATAATTAATAATTAATAAATGCTTGTGTCATGTGCGTGTACGTGTGTACTGAATGCGCTCGTGTCCCATTTTCTTCCGCGTTCCCGTTATATATTTTCACAGGAATATATAATGGAGAACTCTCGGATCGCCGTCGAAGGCACGCACGTGCGCACGCGTACGTGCACGCCGCCGCGATTTCTACTCTTCGTTTCCGTTATAACGTCATTCATTTTTTTTTTTCTGGCTTCTCGTTTTACTCTCTTTCTTTTTCCGTCCGTTTACTCTCTTCTCATTGTCCGTTATTGAAGAAAAAAAGAACCAAAATCGATACGAGACACAGTAATAGAGATGACGATAATCAAGTTACATATACATATGTATATATGCGTGTGCATGTATAACAATAGTAACAATAATAATAATAATAATAATAATAATAATAATAATAATAATAATGATAATCGAGAATATATAATATAATATATATATGTATATCGACCCAAAACCCCAAGACGGGGGAAAACATGCAACATAATGTGGTGTAGCAATAAGAATGTAATATAATAATTATATAATAGTATATAATATATGTAATAATGAGGGGGTGGGGGGCTGTTGAGAAAGGGCTGGAAATATATTTCAACAAATTTCTGTAGCTGTTTTTGTATCTGGGTAAGTTTTGTAGTTTTGTAGTAAGTAGTAATATATAGGTAGTATAAGTAAGTATAAGTAGTAGTAGAGTAGGTAAGTTAAGTAAGTAGTTGTTGCTGTTTCGTGGGCTTGGGGGTCGGTGGGGGGGCCGGGTATTGAGTTTTGTAAAAGAATGTGTGGAGTGAGGCATGTGGGTACCTCCAGGATCACTGTTTGTGTCTTGTTTGCGCTTCCTCTTCTTAGTTCGGTTGGTATTTGCGCGGGAAGACCAGTCAGGGTACAGCTGCATGTGCAACTGTCTCTCCCGTCGCGCCAACTCATAATACTTGGCCTGTTCCTCTCGCCCTAGCGCGTGCCACTACCGAGAGAGAACCAAACACTATTTGTAATTGTGCATGAACCGTGGGCTAAACAATTATTTTTAATCAAGAAGAGAAAAAAAAGAGATTTCACTAAACGCTACTGCCGCCACCCTGATTTGCACCTTTCGTTCTCATCTATTATCGTTCTAGTTTTTAAAACCGCTTCTGCTCAGTTCTTTTCATTTATGGGTTAAACGATAAAAAATGTTATCTTTTATCTCGTTTGTATGCGCTTTGTATTTGGTCTTGTGCTCGGCTCGACGGCATCGTCGTCGTGTCACATTCGCTCGAGCATATCTTTTTTTTTTTTCAGTAACACTGGGGTCCCTACTTTCCGTTTAAAGTGCTAGAAGAACAGCCTAGATTCACCCCTCCCCCTCGTTTGTACTACTCGTCGTATATTTAATTTCGTCGCAAAAAACTCGGACGATACAGGGTGTCTGATAGAGGACTGGCGTCCGTTGGACGTCGAGGTCTCTCGACCGGCTCGCGCGCCGAGGAAAACGATCGACCATCCTCGACGCGATAAGAAAAGTTTCGATTCGTATCGGCGGGTGGCGAGTAAAGGCCAGCGACCCCGTTCGAAACGATCTCGAAAGTAAAGATCCTGAGGAGCGTCCTCGCCTTCTACCAGACATCCCGCATATCTGAGGCTCTCATCGTTACAATAAGTCGCTCTCGATCACAGTCGATCTGAAGGTACATTTTCTCTCATCTTCTTTTTTTCCTTTCAACATTCTTTTTTCTTTCGTCTCTCCGTGAACGGATACCGCTTTAGGGAGTTTGGCCAGATACACAAAAAAAAAAGGAATCTGCGTAACGCATGCCGCGGGAGTCCGTTCTCTTTCCCTTGTTTCTCTTGCGCCGCCTCAGCTTCGTCAGATCAGCCGGTCGCATCAATGATAATCCGCCCCCGACAGACAATCCAACGTGACAATCTACCCGACATTACGAGTATGCGATATATATCGAGTCGCAAACAAAAAAAGAACCGGAAAGAACACGCGCACGTAGCCGCGTGCACGCGGGTGCACGCGTCTACGTGTACCGCGCCCGTGCTTATCTCTTCCGCTTGCTCGATATGAGAAAAAACGAACAAAAAGTCCGCACGAGTCGACAGAGTGAAGAATGTCAAGACGAGATATAAAAATAAAATAAATAATAAAAAAAAAAATACAGAGAAACATAAACAAGTACAAAAATTGGACACTCAATTGAAAAAAAAAATCAAGAGCCATAGACAAGAAAAAAATATATCGAACAAAAAAAAGTAGCATCGTGTTCGTTGAATGAAAATTAAAAAATAAAAATAAAGTAGAATGAAACGCACAAGAGACTTTGATCGTTTCAATATCAACCAGTAGTAGATAAAATCTATGTGTGAATTATTGTATTATATTATTATTATATTATTATGATTATTATTATTATTATTATAATGAATTATTAAGGGCCTGCTGTTCTAGCACTGGAAAGTGGTACCTCCGGTGGGATCTGCGGACCGTTCTTTCTTCCTCTTCTTCTTCTTGCTGCCGTATCCGTAGTTATCCCTGGCACTCCAGCCGGGGTATCGTTGCTGATGGAGATGGCGTTCCTGCCTGGCCGCCTCATAATACCGCGCCTGCTCCTCCCGGCTTAGCGAGTGCCACTGCGTGTCATACCCCCAAAATTCAGATTCACAGATTCACAGTCTCACAGTACTTATCCGTGCACCGTGTGTCTCATTCATTTTTACTTTTTTTTTTTATTCACATGTCATTTTTTCCAATTTTTTTTTTAAACGAAATTCATTATCGCATCGTATCATTTTTAAATTATTTATTTATCGACACGTTCACCGTGTCGTCGAGCGTCATTGACGGACACGCCGACAGAGAAGTGTCTTACGTTTTTTTTGCGTCTCGCTCCCAACCCTCTTGTCTCGATCTACCCGTCCCCTTAAACAGAAACTACGTTCAACGTGGACGAGACACATCCTTAGATCCCACCTACGATGCTCTCTCTTTCTCTCCCTCTCTTTCTCTCTATTCTATTCTATTCTAGATTCTATCTCTAGCAGTACTGAGATACTAGCATGGTACGGTTAGTGCTTCGATACTCTTATCAATCCCGCGGATCAACGAAAGAGTTAACAAAACGCATGCAACTTTTCTTTATGTTCTCGTACGGTTCCTCGAAGACACCCCGGATTCGATTCTGCGTCGGGTGCTCTTGGGATCGTGTTCGTTTCGTGCTCGCCAAGTCAACATTTTGCTTCCCGATTTATTTTCTTTTGTCTAAGCAAACTTTCCCGAAGCTCCGTCGTCAGTGGCATTCAAAGAACTCTCGTTTTCATGATACCCCTCCTCTTACGACATCCATTCTTTACCGAATTACGTTTTGGTAAGTGACGGCAATCGTTAGGAGCAAACCAAAGAAAAATAGAAGAAAATCTTGACTTTGGCACGGGTCTTACTTTTACGTCAGGGCTCGTTCCGTCGTTAGTCTTACACGAAGATAGGACTAAAAGATCTATAATTTATTTATATAATCCTGATGAAAGCGATGCGGATAGGAAACTTATTAAACGTCGGTGAACCCTGAAGTAACAGTTCTGCGTAATTAGAATAAGATCTGAGCAAGGAAAGTATAGTTGCGTCTACTCACTCGTCTTCCCAATATTTGGTTGATCGCGGCGCTCTCTTTTAAGGTACACTCCGCGACGACCTTCGCCCTCATCTCCTTCATGTACAGCATGAACGCGTTCAAAGGCTTTTTTATATGGGGTTTCTTTTTATCTGTCAAACATCATCGACGGGTATGAGAGGTGGCCTCTACAGTCAAAATCAACGGTAAACTGATCACCCTAGCTTAGATTCGTTAAACGAACCCTTACCTTGATTGTTCTGCTGCCCTGTGTCTTGCGACTTCGCGTTGTCCGCCGGTAACGACGACGAGTTCTTCTGCTCTACCGAAGACCTATCAACAGAAACATCAACGAAATTCCAATAAATAAATGCCCAATAAGTTAGTTACGTTTAACTGCATCATAGTTCCTCAGTTCTATGCCTTTTTGCGTTTCGCCTTTAACAATCGTCAACGATGGAGAGACGTATTTAATCGTTTATCTAAATGCGAAGAAGCATCTGTTTCGTGACCTCGAGAAACTATGATGAACGATGGTTCTCGGATCACAGAGATCGAAAAAAAGAACAAAGATCGTAAAGGTCGTAAATCGCAAGGTCCGCTAACCGTTTGAAGTATGGCTGCTTCGCGTCGTGGTTCAAGGGTTGCTGGTCGGGTTTCGTGCAGGACAGGGGATAGGACGGCGTGGAGTTTTGGGAGAGTTGCTCCGTGAGATTGGACGCGGGACCGTCGAAGTACGGCTGAGCGGGGAGCGTCAACGGGTTCCTGGGGTAATTCTGCGGTAGCGGCCAGTTCATCTGTTGCCACATCCTATGCCGCGCCTCGATCATCGCCAGCAGCTGCATGAAATTCTGCTGGGAGCCGTACGGAGGCGGCGTCACGCTCCTCGGGAGGCCGCCGCTCATGTTCGACATCTGCATCAGGCTGCTCATGTAGAGCGCGGTTAGGATCTTGTGATCGGCGGTGGGTAATCCGGCCTCGCCGGACTTCATCGCGTCCTGGAGGATCGTCATGTTCTCCTCGATCGCCGTCCCCTCCTCGGTGTTCCCGTTGTACTTCTCCTCGTCGATCTTCTCGATCGATCCCTCCTCGCTGCTGCCCTCCTCGATCGTCGCGCTGATCGGACCGCTCTCGGTGCTGTTGTCGTCCTTCTTTATCACCAGGTTCAATGGTTCCAGACACTCGGGCTCCATCGCACTCGTGGGTCCCCGTTTATACCCACCGGAACGCTCGAAACTGACCCATCGAACTCGCGATACTCCGTTATATAGAATCCGTCACGTCCCTCGTTATTTAATCGAGCGCTCGCGTGCTCACTTTTCCGTACACGTGAACGTTCACCACGCAGTAGTGATCGCGGTTCGAGCAACGCTTGGTCATCCATCCACTGGCCGATGCGTCAGCGTCATCGTCGGGGTGTATCGTCGTGGGCTCGGGAGCATCCGGAATTTCGGTGGTCACGTATATCATCTCCGTTACTTTGCACAATATCACGCTGTCTCTGGTACTTGGTACCATCGTCGACGAACTGTCCTGCCGGAATCGTCTCCGTTGTAAACAGCACACGTACGCGCACAACATCTACGAGAGGAACGACGGCCGAATCTGTCCGGAGACGATCAGGAAACACTGTTCACGCCATGACGCATACTTCTGTCGGCTTTAATGGCTCCATATCGTCGTTCAACGAACGAGTATTCAACATTCATGAGCGACGAACCGCGGGGTAAAATGTCTCTCGGGGCGGCATCTCTTGGTCCTCCGTTTCACCTTTCCCGGGAAAAAGAGAATCTATCCTGGCCAACGATCGCCTCCTTTTTGTCCCGAGGACACGCGCGTGCCTCCCGTCCGTCCGTCTGTCACGATTAATCCACCGCGCAAAGAAAAAGAACGAACGCAGGATCGCCGGTTCGACCGTTTCCACCGCGGCCTTTCCGTCACCCCGCTTCGCGTCCCCGCATCCAGCGAAAACGCGTCGTTCCTGGCGTCGGTGGAATCACCGAGCGGTGTTACGACGATTGATTATCCGCGAGTGCGGAAGGGGCGGCGGGGCGGTGAAGGGCTGCACCGTGGGGCCATCATCGCGATTCATGGCTCCGCAGCAACGACACCCTACCATCCGCCGATGTATAATTCGCGCGTGGGGGGTGAAGATTGCATTCTCTCTGCTTTCCCTGCGTGATGTCTTTTTTTGGCGGGCTGCGTGGCGCTACCATCGGCGCCGACTCACCCCCTGGCCTCTCCTCTGTGCCTGGGACGAGACCACTTCACACGCAACAATATGTGCCACCTGTACCGGATCCTCTACCTCCTGAGATCAGCTGCTCGTCCACTCCCAGTAGTACCTCCTTATCGGTGTCCTCCCGGGAACGGTTCCAACAGTCCCGGGTGTTCGTTCTCCGATCCTGACATGTGAGTCCGACTCCTGTTCGCTTCTTGACTCTTTAACTTCAGTCCACGTGTTCTCTTCGTAGAATCTCCGAAATTCAACTCGCGACGATGGACGGTGTATCGAGCCGAGGCCGCCTCACCCTCTGAAGCACGTGGCCGAGTCGAAGGTCAAAATGGAAGACGGGGTGCACGCGAGGCCCGTTTACGCGGCTCGTAAAACACCGTCGGGCGTCCCGACGCTTGGCTGCACGCGACTCTCCCCTCTTCAGGAACCCGTTCAGCGGCGGCTGCCAGCTGATCACACGACGACGACGACGACGACGACGAGCCTGCGTGTGCTTACGTGGCTTGTGCACGCGTGTCTCGAACAGAGTAAGCGCGACCATGCGGCTTTGTATACGATGCTCGGGCCAAGCGATCGGCCGGGTACTAATGCAAATTAGAAATCTGTTTAAGAGGGTAATGATCAATACATAACCGGCGGCGGCGGCGTCGGCGGCGTCGGCGGCGCCGGCAGGCGCAGACGCTGTGCGAAGAGAGTCATTCAATAAGTGTTATACGTGTCTCGCCGTCGAAGGGGGAACGACTGCACGAGGGGTTGAACGCCCCGCGTCGTGCTACCCCCTATGGTCGAGCTCGTAACTATTCGTCAACCCCCGAAGTACGCGCTTCTTTATCAACGGACGAGGTCGACCCTTTATCGATGGAAGGGTGCAACAGCGTTTCGACCAAAAGAAATGTATCCATTTTTGATAACGGATCAGCCTTGCCGATGAACGATAGCTACGCTCGTTGACCTTTGGACCATCCAAACGCGTTTAGACATTTCCGCTGGTCTGAAGATTGATGAGGAGATTCTCTTCTTAATTCAGGACCCTCTTCGATCGTTTTGTTCCCAGTAAATCATCGACTCGGTTACTCGGTAATGCGTCGTACATTATTTACCAGTCCGTCCACGATCGAAGTCAGTACAGTTCGCGAAAATTTTACACCCTCGCGCACGAGCTTCTCTCGTTTATTAATTCGCTTGTCTCGATTATTCGATTATGCGAACTGAACCCGTGGCACTCGGTCAATTATCGGTATCAATCACGAATTTCCGGAAGTACGTCTTCCATCAGTCGATGGTAACTACCCCTACGCATCGATTCTAGCCGTATCGACGTTCGGCGGGAGAGCCAGAGAAAGGAATCGGGGAAAAAGGGTCGCCGGGGTGGTTTCCGCGGTAAGGGTGCAGATGTCACTGAAATGAAAACGAACCTGTGATTATGATCCAGGGTGGAATGATCCGTCTTCGGCGCCGAGGACACCAGTGCGTGGGACGCCAGCGCGTGTGCGTGCGGACTTAGTCCGGGGTGCGGGGGCATCAGACCCGTTGGTGAAAACCGGTAGAGATCACTGGAAAAAGTGTGACATATTTTTTTCTTCGGTAATCGCGAGCATCGATTCTACCGCGTGTTTAATCGATTTTTACTCATCGTTCGTTTCGTTACATATTTCTGTTGGCCCGCGTAGTCGTGCAATCGGAATAATTCGAAACTCGTGAACTTGAATCAGATCACCTACTAACCTTGGTAAACTAGAACTTGTTATGGGTAAACTCGTGGGATACGGACTTCGGAAACCAGTGCTTGCCGGGGAAATGGGGTACATGCTCGGTGTGTGCCTGAAACGAAATTATTACACTTGTCATACCTAACAAGAATCATGTTTCATTAGATCAGCACCCTCTCTGTGTCAGTTTATTATTTTCCACGAATGATCACAAGCTTTTATCCCAGTCGTTATACGAATACGAAGAAGTAAAACAAATTTCTTTTCTTTCGCTTTCTTCGACTGGCTCGGGTATCGCCGGGGGGAAAGCGGCTCCCGCCCTCCTAATTGAAAAGAACGGGCCTAATCATCCGTGGAAAATCTCAATTTGGAGCGGTTCGAGCAGAAAGCAAATAACAAGGAGGGAGCTGAGGAGGGTTGCTCGTGCGGTCAACGCGTTATAGCTGGATCGGCGACGACGCTGGACGTGGTCGCGGTCGGTCTAATAGACCGGAACTGAGAGGATGACCGGGGAAAACGTAGCCGTGATTCGACTCGGGAGAAAAATAGAGAGCCGAGAAATTCCGTTATCGCGTAACGTTCGGCTTTTCATCGATTCGAACGTACACGGAGCAAGATCGGAGCCGATGAAAGGTGAACGGCAGGGGGGTCGGGAAAGGAATCCAGGGATAAATAAAAATCGCGTTTATCCTGGTCGAGTGTCGCGTTCGAGTGGCTCGAATTGTCGGTACACGGGATTAACGACTGCTTGAGCGCGGAAAATCGGACGTTTCTCATGTAAATCGGGCCACTCGTCGAGTTTACTGCGGTTCGAGCGTACGCTGCATCGCGGCTATTCAATCCGCCCGCTTTATCCGCAATTCTCCCGAGCACGGTTAATCGCGAGACTACAAACTGTCGATAGACGTTTTCTATCGGCGCATCGACTTACCAGGAAGCGGCGACTTGCGTCATTTCCGGGCTGAGCATGGGGTATGGGTATTGACCCGTGGAGAACGGGTACATCGGTGCTCTCGTCAGACCTGAAACAAAAATCGACATAGAGTCTTTCAAAGTATCTCAACGTTCAAGCGAAAAATGCATATTTAATATCGCTGGTAAATTAGAAGCGGTGAGGTCAGATTCTCAGACTTCGAGGGAGATCGGTTGTTTGTCCTGGGTACTTCCCTATGGGGTCGTTTTAAACGCGGTGACACGGTGCCCATCGGCGTCGCGTATTAACCGATGGAGAATAAACATTATTACAACCGGGATCAAAGAAGAGCGGTCCGATTGGAGGAAAGGCTATGTATTTAAGGATGTATTGGCTATACAGTCAATCCGAAAAGTTTATGCACTTTAGAAACGCATTTTTTAAAAAGAAATCAGACGTCGAAAGAAC